TCACTACGCACCTCATCTCCTGTTTTCTCTTTCCTTCTTGATGAAGCAGCTCTCTAACAGCTTATTGAGAGGTTTTTGGGTTTTATTGTTTGTTTTTGTTTTTGAGACTATGCTTGTATAAAATGCCCTATTCTCTACTCACACTTGATTGATAGTTTGGCTAAATATGGACTTCTAGATTAGGGATAATTATCTGTCAGATTGTTGACACTGTCCAAAAAGCTATTGTCTTCTAGCTTTCAGTGTTGCTATTGAGAAGCCTGCTATTCTGGTTGCCAATTTTTTGCATGTGATTTTCCCCACCCTTTCTGGGAGGTTTTAGGGTCTTCTCTTTGTTGGTGATGTTCTGAAATTTCATAATGTTGTTTCTTGGTATGAGTCTTTTTAAATTTCCTGTGAGACACATAGTCAGTCATTTAAACTTGGAACCATTTATTTAATTTCTTGGAAATTTTCTTGAAAAAATATATTTTTTTGAATTTTCCTTCCATCTTCTCAGTTCCTACTTTCTGGATTTCCTATTAGTCAGATGATGGGTCTCCGGATATGCTTCTTGAAAGTGATTTTCAGCACAATCTGGACATCACACAGCTATCAGTACCCCCAGGAGGCCAGTTTATGTATAAGGTGTGGGGGAGGGGGCAGGGGAGGGTAAGGCATGGTAGGGAGCAGCCCGAACCAGTTCCTCTCTGCTTCGCTGTCATGACTTACTAGTAATGTGAAGAGAGCACCTTGTTAGCATGTGGCTGCGTATTGAGGGTCTGGGTGTAACATTGGGGAGAATTGTGAGAAGAGTATACACAGAAGCTGCTGGGGTTAGAGAAAACCAGAATATCTTCCTCATATATGTACTGCATTTTATAGATTAAAATGCATTTTTACATGGATTAATTTATCGCATTTAACATGGGTTAAAAAATCTCAAAAGAGGTTATTTGGTTGTCCTCTTGGAGAAGTGAGCCCTGACCCAGGCAAACTGGGAGACCTGTGTCAATTTACCAGTCCTCAAGAAGATGACCTGAGGAGAAACCAAGATGGCGGCATAGGTTAACGCTGGAGATTGCTGCCTTGAACAACCACTTCAAAAATAAAACTAAAAGACAGAACGGACATCATCCAGAACCACAGGAAGGCTGGCTGAGTGGAAATTCTACAACTAGGAGGAAAGAGAATATCATACCCAGACTCAGGGGAGGCCCAGTGCTGAAGTGAAATGCTCAGGTGCAGAGGGCGCGCGGAGCGGGCTGGCGGTGCGGCGCGGAGGGGCGGTTGTTTGTTTACAATCGGGAGGGAGCATCAGACTCTGAGCTCCAGATCCGGGCGAGTCGCTAGGGACGCAGACTCAAACGGGAGAAGCAGGACTGTCTGACCTCGGTCGGAACTCGAGGCAGCTTTCTCTCCGAGGTTTGCAGCGGTTGCTGGGACTCTGTGAGGCAGAG